TGAAAAGACTCAAATCAGTTTGCAAGGAAAGATAAAACTCGTGTGGATTTATTGTTAGGTAGTGTAGTGGTTGAATTTCAAGGAGGTTGCTGACTCTGCATCGTTGAAAATGGTGGAATAAGCATTTGGAGGAAGCTGGACATACTGGATTGGAACAACATGCCAACAATGCTCGAATGGAGGTATTTCTTTAAAGTTAGAGAATAGCAGAGGTAAGTTTGTTTTATTATTATTTTGAAACACCTACTGAGTACTAACATTTCTGATATTTATCATCAGGGGTCTATGTGGTCCTTCGTGTTTATGGGTCCCATCGGTTGTTCGCGATGGCCACCTTTGATGGTCAGTCTGGAGTGTTTCCTGCTGCAGTTGGAAGGTAAGAAGTGTATAGTAGTTGTAAGTAGCGTTACCAAGGGTTTCTTAGTGTTAGGTTTAGTTTGGTGTTGTAGTTTGAGTTAGTAAGTAGGTTTTAGTTGTTAGTGAGGCAGCCTTAGGAGTGTAGGTTTTTATTGTAATTAAGGTGTTTGTTAGTTAGTGCATGATTAGTGCTTGTGGTGGATAGGTTTGCATGATTAACACCCTAACAAGCAGGGTTCTCCATGAGCTGTTTTACTGTGTTGGTCCTGACACAGAAAAATGTTCTCCGACACAGTAATGATTCAAATTTTGTCTGTGTGAACAGAAAAAATTTTGCCAACACAGTAAGATCTGTGATAATAAGAAATCTAAACATACAAATTCTCTGTATCTGAAACATTATTACCGTAATCAAACAATTCTACCGTCTTTTAATTCTAAAAGATATCTAGAGCACTTAATTACGGTTTCACCTTGCATAACCAATTATTTCCTACACCCTCGCCGGACTTTACGCATGAAAGAACAAAGGCAAATAATTGGTTTTCATACTTCCATGTAACGGCTAATTGGTACTATTAGTTGCAATTAAAGTACATTGTATTATTTTTAGAAATATATTTAAATGTCTTTTCTATAGAGCAATGGCTCTAGAATTACTGTAGATCACTAAATTTTCGGGACACCTTATTTTGCGAGATAGTCATTGACGCTTGATAAGCGAGACAAAATTTCACGAATTGTGGTCATTGCTCTATATAATTTTAAGGAATACTATTATACGTGAGAATTAAATTTTGGCTAGCACACTTTCTTGCGTAATTACACGAAAATAAAGTTCATACAAATAAAAAGTAATTTACAGTATGTTGGCAATGTAAATCAAACACAACACTGTACCGAAATCATTTACTTGATGTAAATCAATAGTTTTAAATTTTCAAGGAACTTTTAAAAGTATTTTACTATTCCGAAGTTTCTTTTTTTTGTAATTCCTTAATTTGATCAAGAAAATTGACAAAAAAACAAATTTGCTTTAAAAAATTGTAAGTAGTTTAACTTTATTGACAAGAATTTCCTCTGCATTTCACAATATGTGCTAATATATTTTTGTAATGAATTAGCAATTTTTTTTTTTTTAAGTTTGTGCATGTATTCTTAAGTAATTATAATGAATAGTGATTCAGTTGCAAATTTGATCGCTAAAATACTGTGAAATTTTAGTGCTTTGCGTAAACTCTGCAACACAGTAAAATTTCAAACGATGGAGAACCCTGCGCAAGTAACAAGCTACTAAAACTACTAACGTCTGCTAAATGTTGTGTGATGCGTCTAGAGTGTTGATGTTAGTGTGTGTGTGCTTGTCACCTCTCGCTTTCATCCATCACCGCTGGCTAGCAGCAATGTGAAAAGGGAAGGAATTTTTATGTCTTCCCCTGCCAGAACATAGCCTCTCCACAACAAGTCCTATGCGATGCCTCCACGTGGAAGCAGACGGATACTGGGTACCATTTGGTCCCAGGCTAAGTTCGCAAGGGCGCACGGGAAGATGAGTCTTAAAAGCATTGGTAAACATCTTATCTAGGAAAGAAAACTGATCACAACCCCTATTTAGTAGAAGTATCAATTGATATAAGTGCTGGTTTTTAAAATAAGTGAACCTTTGTTCATTTTATGTCTTTGTCATCTTTTTTGTAAAATTTCACATTGTCATCTTCATCAAAATTCAAGGAAACTTGGCAAAGAGTATCCTTGGATAAATGCCATTATGGGATTTAAGTTTATTCAAATGAAGGCCCACTCCCTCTTCAAACGGAAGATTACTACAAATAAGTGAAAATAAAGGACATCTTTTAAAAATCTTCTTTTCAAGAACCACTGAGACGGGAAAGAGACACTTATGTGGCATCATCCTCAGGTAGTGTAGATTCAAAGTCAAATCAAGACCCCATGTTGGGGTCAGAATAGGGGATCAAAAACATATATTATACTGTAGATTCCTTATTTTTCGCGTGTAATTATTATCGCGAATAGGCTTTTCACTCTCAAATCATGAGAATAATAATCGAATGGATGGTTGGTTAAAAGATTTTATATACATGTAGATTTCAGCTCCATAAAAATAAAGGCGAGTAATTTAATTTTGTGTTTGATGCCCCTCGCGAAATTACGCGATAAGTACTTCCACGCAATAGGAATCTACAGTATGTACCCAGGGATATACATAAATTTTTTTCTCAAGCCACAATTAGTCATATTGATATCAAATCATCCTTTTTGGTAGTGAAAATTTCATTTTGTTTAAATCATGTCAACCGGGGAAAGGTTTGGGCCACAATGGACAATCAAAGTTTTACGTTGGATTATATTGGAAATATCTTTAGAAATCTCAGAAACAAAAATGTCATGACTGGTGATATGTATACGCTAGCATCTTCATGTAGTGTAGATTTAAGTTTGTTCAAATCATGACTCCCATGTCTAGGGCAGAGCCCCAATGGTGGATCAAAATGGACAGGGGAATATATAGGAAACGTCCCCTCAATAACACCAAAGCCATATAAAGTCATATTGATATGGGAGCATCCTTAGGTATAGGATCCGGGCCACAATTAAAGGGTGAAGGTCAAATGGCTAAAACGTAGCACATGTAGGAAATTCATATGCCTCCCTTTCAATGATAAAAATATAAATAGCTCACATGTTTTAGATACTTTTGGGGTATAGAATAAAAGTAGAGTGTCTAAAGTTTACAATGATATGCAGCAAGGTGCATTTCAAGCAAAAATTATGCCTAGAAATATGAATTGAAAAGAGCATTCATTTGGTTTGTTTACACTTTTTTTGCCAAGCGAGAGCTATCCCGAGGTCATGACGTCAGAAGTTTATTAATAACCAGGGAATTCCACATTCAACACCCCTATTTCTGGATGTGAATATTTATCTAACATATTGCTCTATCATGTGGTCAAAGATATTTTGGAAATGAAGATTTTTAAAAAAGTTACAAAGAAAATAAAACACATGGTTTTACTATATAAGTCTATATGTAAGCTAATTGTGGTCCGGGTCCAGTCAATCACATTCCTAGGCTATGTTATAGACACAGTGAAGATGACAGTTTCGTTACCTCAGGAAAAAGTACAACAAATTCTCAAAGAAATACAGAACCTTCTTCTTCAAGTACAACCCAAAATTCGTTTTATAGCATATGTCATAGGCCTTCTTGTTTCAACCTTTCCTGCAGTTTACCAAGGCCCCCTCCATTATAGTTATTTGGAAAAAGACAAGACAGAGTCTTTGTTTCTTGTCCAATCTTACCAAGGGAAAATGAAAATATCTCCAGAATCGCAAATAGAGCTTCAATGGTGGCTTCAGAACTTGGAAGCACTCAATGGAAAACCCATACATTTTCAAGATCCGACCATAATTATAACAACAGATGCTTCCAAAAAAGGATGGGGGGGAGAAATGAACCAATGCCGAGTGTCAGGCAGATGGTCAACAGAGGAGATGCAGCTACATATAAATTTTCTGGAATTGAAAGCAGTTCATTTTGTGCTGATGACAGTAGCAGATCAGATTTATGGCCAGAATATTCAAATTCAAGTAGACAACAAAACAGCCGTAGCTTACTTGAATCACATGGGAGGAACTCATTCAATGTCAATGAACTCCCTGGGAAAGGAAATTTGGGAATGGGCAATTGTGAGAAAGATTCATCTGACGGCTGTACACATTCCAGGAGTAGAGAACACAAATGCAGATTTTTTGAGTCGACATTTTATGGATCAGATGGAATAGCAGTTAATGAATCTATGGTTTTATTTAGTTGAACACGTATGTAGATTATGAAATATTACATAATGTGTGTATGCAAATTGAAAATTAAGGAATAAAACCATGCTCAAAAGCTAACTAACAAACTAAACTAAACTTAACTAAACTAATAATTCACAGATTCACATCTGTCCAAATCTTGATTCCAGGGGGCAGGGAGGGGCATCAATGGGGATAAAATTTTAACAAAGGAATATATAGAAAAAAATCTTATGTTCAAGAACAGCTAAGCCATTGTTATTGATATGAAAATGTCTCAAGGTAGTTATTCTAAAATTTATACTTTTCAGTACTGGACTAATTTGTGCATTTACTAGCCAGTGCTTAGGTGAGCATATCACCCATTGGCCACTTGTTTATTTTAGAAATCTTCTCACTTGGTATAAAGTGCCAATGATTCCCTTTTGGTGTCTGTTTTTATCTTTTTAAGCAGAATAATGTTAAGGTTGAACAGGATCCTGAAGTGAGGAAGACTCCCTCTCCCATTGAACTGCAGACATCAGCAGAAAGCAGAGCAAGATTCGGACTCAACTTCTTGTATCTTTGCTTGCCAATTAAAGTTTGCTGTACCAAGCTTTAACCTCTGGACTTTCGACAGATTTCAGTTCCTCTTTAGTTCAGAAGAGGAACAACAATGGAGGACCAAGGTCATTAATATAAGAAGAGTCTATTCCTGTCTGTGTTTTGAAGGCATTGTGTTTCAAAAGTGGTAAGCAACAAGCTGTATTTTACTGAAGCTTCTCACTTGATATGAAATGAAAGTGTTTCCCCTTTTATGTCTCTGTTTTAAGTTAAGACTGACCAGGAATTCTAAGTGAGGAAGAGTCCCTCTCCCATTCCGCTGCAGCCATGAGGAGAATATTTGTACTTCTTTTTTTACCTATGGAACTTCATCAGGACCCACTTTAACAAGCAGGAGTCTTACAAGTATTTTTGTTTAATTATTTCTGACGTATTTTTGTCCTCCCTTCTCTAAAGTAACTATGCATTCCTCTCCTTGCCCCAATAATCCACCTTATTCCTATCATAACCTTATTGTCTTAATTTGCTCTTTGATTTTCCAGCTAATAATGTTGTAATGATTATAATCATTTGAGTTTCTTTGATTATTACATTGCTTTGAATTATTGCTTATCTTCTCTCCATCAAGTATTTTAAAGGGATTTGACAAGGGAAGAAGGAAGAAGACCAGTGCTGACCAAGAGAAGAAGAAGAGTCCATTGCCAAGCTTTTCCAGCAGCCAATATCTGATAATGGAGTGAGTAAAAAGCTCTTTTTTCGCAATTTTCAAATTTTCTTTATACACTTATTTAAATCATAGGTTCAGGGTGATTTACTTCTGCAGCACAACAGCAACCATGTTGCAATCTAAATCATCCTGAGGATGTCTTGATTCAAATTAGGTTACATCATGATCCCTTTGGACTAGGATTAGTAAAAATATGAATCAAGATTTTTTTTGTCAAGATGATTCAGGTGAACATTTTGGCACAAGGTCTCCTTCATTATTTTTAATGATCTTTAGATTTTTCTTTGTTAACAGGCAGAAGATGAGACTGACCTCAACTTGTTAACAAGACTGGAGATGAAGGAATAACTACTGTCTAACCTGAAATCTTTGGTAAGTCAGTTGTATGTCAAGCTCGAGACCTTGTGTTATGTGAATAAAATGAGATTATGACACTCGCATTTCTTGAATTTCTAGTTTCTTTTTTGTTAATAGGTAGGGGTTTATGCTGGCATTGATCCTGTTTCCGAAAGCAGCTCGCCATGTTTCTGTGAGAGTCCAAAGAGATCAGCTAGAACCTGAAAATAAAGGTAAGATACAATTAGCTCTGCAAACTCCTTCTAATCTGTGAAAATATGTTAGCCTTTTTTCATTTATTAAGATTTTATTAATATTTTTTTGATCCCTCATGATTTGTTATCTTTACAGACAGACTGCCATCAATTTTGTTTCTTTGACAGCAGACAAATATGCTTCAACAATAGTGCAGAGATTAAGGTTTGGGCTGCAAGTGATGGACAAACTAAAGAGCTTAACTCACAGAATTCAATGGACTGTGCTGAGTACATTGTTATCAGGAAGTAATGGACACACTAAACAGCTTACCTCACAGAATTCAATGAACTGTGCTGAGTACATTGTTATAATAAAGTGATGGACAGTTGGACACACTAAATATCTTAACTTGTAAGATTCAGTGCACTGTGCTGAGTAACTCTTATCAACACAGTGATGGACACACTAAACAGCATATTTCACAGAATTTAATGGATATTGCTTGAGTACGTTGTTATTACAAAATGATGGACACAGTAAATAGCTTGACTCCAGAATTCAGTGGACCGTGCTGAGTACATAACTCATAAAGGATAACTCCTGACATATTCACAGCAGATCACTCAAAGTTAACTCTGTTAAATTTGTAATAAAGCATTTGGAGAAAGCTCAGAGTGCTACTACATTATTGTACATCTTTTCATATACTAAGTTATTTTTTCTGAATGTTTTTTGTATCTGTATATTATATTTTTAAATAAAAAAAAATTCTTGAAGACTGGATTTTAAAGCAAAAATATCAAGAGAGGTAAATCAGAGATTGTTGGAATATCTAAGCTCAAGAGAAAGGGAGGTAATTTTTAGCTCGCCTGAGCTGAAGGCTCAAGTGAGCTTTTCTGATCACATTTTGTCCGTCGTCTGTTCGTCTAGCTGTCCGTCCGTCTGTAAACTTTTCACATTTTCATCTTCTTCTCAAGAACCACTGGGCCAATTTTGACCAAACTTTGTACAAAGCATCCTTGGGTGAAGGGGAATATAAATTGTTAAAATGAAGGGCCATGTCCCGGGAGATAATCAAGAAAAGGTAAAAATAGGGTTAGGTCATTAAAAAATCTTTTTCTCAAGAACCACTGGGCCACTAAAGCTGAAACTTATGTGGAAGCATCCTGAGGTAGTGTAGATTCTAAATTGTTCAAATCATGACCCCCGGGGTAGGGCGGGGCGACAATGGGGAATCAAAGTTTTACATAGAAATATATGGGGGAAATCTTTAAAAATCTTCTTCTCAAGAACCACTGGGTCAGTAAAGCTGAAACTTATATGGAAGCATCCTGGGGTAGTGTAGATTCTAAATTGTTCTAATCATGTCCCCCGGGGGTAGAGCGGGGCCACAATGGGGAATCAAAGTTTTACATAGAAATATATGGGAAAAATCTTTTAAAAAATCTCAAGAACCACTGGGCCAGAAAAGCTGAAACTTATGTGGAAGCATCCTGGGATAGTGTAGATTCTAAATTGTTCTAATCATGACCCCCAGGGGTAGGATGGGGCCACAATTGCCCATCAAAGTTTTACACAGGAGTATATAGGAAAAATCTTTGAAAATCTTCTCAAGAACCACTGGGCCAGAAAAGCTGAAACTAATGTGGAAGCATACTGGGGTAGTGTAGATTTCAAATTGTTTAAATTATGATCAGTGGGGTAGGGTGGGGTCACAATATGTACATGTATTACAAGGGGGGAATCTGGTAAAGAACAGAATGGCCAAAGCTTCTCAGGTGAGCGATGTGGCCCATGGGTTTCTTGTTTTTATGGAAGAATCGCTAAATTTCCGTCTTGCTAAAATTCCACTCATACGGTATATATTCACTTCAGAACTAGATCTACTGCTGACCTTGGGGCCTTGAATTTTGGAAAGGTCTCGAGGCTTGTTACAATCATGCTATTCACAAACTGCTTAAGGACATTGGCAAGGTTCCTGGCTTTAGTATAGAATTTTTCAAGAAATTTTGAGCAGGTGTAATGGTATTAAACGTGTTATATTCTGGTACATTTAACCCAGCAAGCCATCCTCCCTTTTAGGATTTTGTCAGATCAATGTTATTAAAGTTCTCAATGCATTTCCTATGTAAAATGTTAAAAAAATGACCTACATAATTTTTTACCATAATTTTTTTTCCAAAACCCATTTATTTCAGAATGTTTATGTATTATATACATTATTGTATCCTCATTTCCAATGATATCTAGATATCATGACTGAAAATTTAAATTTAGAAACATGACACAGATCTACCAACACTGTTCTTTATTTTAGAGTTACTTCCCTTAACATCTAATTCGTATTGATAAATCATATAAATTATGGTAAAAACTGGTTAACTGTGTCTGTTATGTAATTAACCTTATTAGAAACAAAATGTCATAAAACACTGGCTTGGATTTGTTTTTAATATTTGTTTTCAGTTAGTAAATGGTGTTTCCTTAGCACGACCTTATACAGTTTAGTTAAAGGAGCTGTTCTCGGCTAGCAATTGTCACATCTTAAAATAGACTTTGTCCAGTATAACTACGGTAAATTAAATAACAGCCTGCTGACCACTGTTAACTGCATGTCCCTGAACACAATGTACAACAAAGTCATCACCGCTTTTCTTTCTTGCAGTAGAGATGATTCTACCCGCTGAACAGCTGTTGAAGGAAGCACGTGCCCTTTTGTTTACATTTGTAAAAGAATTCTACACGGGAGATCACTCTCAATCACGGTTTTATATAAGAGAAAAAAAAACATGATATAAACCCTTTTTCTCCGGAATACCGTGACTTGCCAATGTCCTTAATGTCCAAGAATAAGAATGTAGTAACATATTGCATATTAATCTTAATATGGTTTTAGCAAAACATGACAATGGACAAAAAAGCAAGCAATACAGGGCACCTCATTAATTCAGGTGACCTTAATTAAAAGTCCTTAAAACAATCTTCTGAAGAAAAGTGTGACAAAGATGAAACAGGCCAGCATTGTGATTCCAGCTCGTTGTATCTCTTATGAAATACTAGAAATGTGTACTTTAATATGAGAATGCCTATACATAAGAATTTGACAAACTACAAGTACATATTGTATTCCTGCATAACTGCCAAGAGCCTGAGAAGAGTCAGAGACTAGAGGTACTGTCCGCAACTCTCCCATATCTATTTATAAAGTAATTTAAGGTGAAATAAGAGGAGTCGCTGATGACAGATCGATATAAGCGTAACAGATGTATGGACGAACTTATAGACAGACAGACATCCCAATCACTATATATCCTCCCACTTTTCAAGGGGGAGGGCGCATAATATTTTTATACCCCCCACTTGAAAAGTAGGAGGGTATGTAGTGATCAGGATGTAGTCGTCTGTCTGTTACGCTTTTGGGTACCCATCTCTTACAACTCCTCTATTACTACTGAATCAAGTTTAATGCATCGTTGGATACCCACGGGTGATCTCATCCTTTACTCACCATCAAGGGTATCCCACCAGAAGTTTAATGAGACTTTCACAGAATGTTTGTCACATAGTGCCATTGTGCACTTTCTATTTTATACTTTTTGATCTGGCATATTCTGGGTTTCCAATAGCAAAACACGAATACTATTATTCTTTATACAATATTGAAGGGTACCCATCTCTTATATGAAACTCCTCCTATCCATAGAATGAAATTTTATTAGACCTTAACAGAATTAATCTTTGTTACATACTGGTACTGCCATTTTGACCTCCTATTTTACTTTCTTATCCAACACATATTTCTGGGTTTCTGCAATAAGCATGGACACTGTCATTATTTTTCCAATATTGAAGGTTACCCATCTTTTATCCTCAACTCCTCCTATACCACCGAAACTGAATAAATTTTATTATTATATGATTGAATAATTTCCAAATCTCTGATTGGCTGAGATCCAACTGTGTTAGAAAAATATTACGTTGTATTGACCTGCACGTGACGTTCCAGGTCAATACAAGGATTTATTTCCTCTACATTGATCTAAAAAAAGATTGGAAAATTCCAAATTGATACAAATTGTTTTAAAAAGCTATTTATACGACTATGATTTTTATTTTCATGTGAACAAAACATAAGCGAATGTATATTTTTGGTGAGGGGGGTAAGCGGGGATTCAGGGACCCCCCCCCCCCCAACACTTTTACTGAACAACATTTTTTTTCTATCTTTTTTCTTTTTGGCAGTCAGTTTTTTGTTTTCCCTGATAATACTCCTTCCTTTCAAAGTCTATCCTATAAAAAAGACTGACATTATATATTTCTTTCATGGCAACTAAAGTTGATTAAAAAAAAATTCAAATTGATACGACTGGTAAGGTTTATTCACATTTTAATTCTGCTTCTCTCTTGTATTTGGCTAGGACTTAATAAAATGCAAACAAGTAATGAGCTGTATCATTTTACCGGTGAATCATATAATAAAACAATTATTGCTGTTTTTTCGGTCAAAACAATGATTTAGCCATCTTCGAAGTACAATATTCACCTCGCCCTTCGGGCTCGGTGAATATTGCACTCCTCAGATGGCTAAATCATTGTATTGACCTCAAAAACCAGCAATAATTGTATAATATTTTCTCAGATTCTTTATTTCCTAATGCCAATGTGCATGTAGCTCCTATTTTATTTTTGGTCTGACACTTATTTCAAGTCTCCCATTAAAGCAAAACAAAGACTTTGCCACTATAATCATATGGAAGGCAGGGGGTATCACTTAGTGCTCACATTTTTTCAACTTTGAGCTTAAAATAAAACAAATGCCACCATAATTAATGTGTTCAGACATATATACATGTTTGTATCAGTTTACATTATCTATTACACTTACTAGTATATACTACAAAGTATTTTTATGTTATTTGTTTTATTTTATATTGATATATTTACATTTCCAATGTCTTTGTCTGAGATAAAATTACCCATTGTAAATGTAATTGATTTCCTCATGAATGTTTTGGCGCGGTTCCAAAAAAAAAACCACGTACAGGGCGGGACAACACCTAGAGAGAAGCAGTCTTGGAGCACGTGGATTGGCGGAATCAAAGCATGTAAATATAAGGAATAACTGTCTTATTTTTCGAATTCATGAAGATGATCAATGGATTGGCTTGTGTGATAATTTTATGCATAAACGCCTTCGGCGTTTATGCAAATTATCACACAAGCCAATCCATTGATCTCTTCATGAATTCGAAAAATAAGACAGTTATTCCTTAAATACGCGACATTGGACATGTGTATGCACATTGCAAGGAAAACGAAGTCTATGCATGACTAAATTAAAGATGCTGCGTATTTGTTTTCTGAGCAATTTACAAATGCTTTAATTTGAATTCATGTTAAAAAGTCGAAATATTATATAAAAGGTATATTTCACACACGTGTATTTTTTAAAATGCATTTAGCCATTTTAATTTTAATCCATAGTTAATCATACTGATGTACACCGAGAGCCAGTCTACGGTGAACTATCGATTTTAAAATCATTAATGTGTGTGGAAAAGGGGGGGGGGGGAGTTAAGGAGACAAGCAAAAAAAATCTCCGAATAAAAAGACAACTGAACTGGTAAAAGTTCAAGCTAAAAAAAAGCATAACATTTCTTTGATTGGATATAACATGGGAGACCCAACCCTTCTACAACAACAATAAATAAATCTATACTAAATTAACAGTAAGATAATATGCTAAGGAAATAAAGGGGGATGC